GGACTCCCAAGAGAGAGGAGGGAACCCAACATTGTCCCGACGCTCCAGCAGCCCTTGCACAAGGACAGGACACACTGCGCTTTCACATGGACATGGCTCAAAGTCACCTGAAGATGCTGAACAGTCTCCATCTCCCGTATGTACCCCTGAATGTGCAGCATAAACCTGTCATGTTTTTTCTGCCTTTAGTCCCTGTAGGTCATCACTTCCCTGAGACAAGCGATGAACACAGTGACAGAGGACAGTATTGTTAAGCAGCATCCAAAGGGAATTAACTTGCTTTGGCAGTTTGAGCCATCCCGAAGCGCTGCTAGGTACATTTACCAGGCCCAAAAGATGACTTCTGTTTTGTCAAGCAGCTCAAGGTGTGGGAGGCTCAAGTTGTGAGAAGCTGTGGCTGCCCCATCCCTGGCAGTGCTCAAGGCCAGGTTGGACACAGGGGCTTGGAGCAACCTGCTCTAGTGGAAGGGGTCCCTGCCCGTGGCAGGGATTGGAGCTGGATGAGCTTTAAGGTCCCTTCCAACCCAAACCAGGCTGGGACTCAGTGATTCGATGATTCAAGCTAGATAACCAGCCCACGCTACCTCCTTGGGATGACAAAGCCACGAGGAAGAGTTTGCCATGGCTTACATGGTGGGTGAGGGAAGCAGAGAGCTCATTTTGCTGCTCAAGGAGAAGCGACAGAGCCGTCCCCATCCCCATGCCCAGGCTGCCACCACTGGCTCCAGAGGCTCTGACAGCCTCCCAAACACCACACAACTTGCATCCACCTTGGCACAAGTGGAAGAGACTCCAATTATCATGTTATGAATGTTGTGGTGTTAACATAAGGAAGCCAAAGGCTTCTCCCTGTATGGCCTCCAGGAGGGTGACCCACAGCAGCTCAAGCTGCTTCCCTCAAGGACACACTTGGGATCCAATTCATCACAGCACCAATTGCAGGGATGCTCTATCCTGATTTAAACCAACACACTTTGACAGCAGAGCTGCCAACACAGTCAGCCATTTCTAGCCAGCTACTCAAGGTTTTCCAGCCTCCTGCACTGATTCCCTGGGTCTGGTCTGTTCAGCACTGAAATAAGCACTTTCAGCACCATCCAGCCTAAGCACACAGAAACGCCGGACATCCAACCACAAGGTAGGAGCAGCTGATCCCTGAGGTCCCTTCAACCTGGGATTCTGTCCTATGATCTCAGCTCATCAGGCTCCAAGCCAAAGCCAGCTCCATCTCAGGACCTCGCTCGCGCACAGGATGCTCATCACACGGTCCCCACGCAGCTCGTGTCGATGCTTCAGAAGCGCTTGCCAAGAGCACGCATCCAAGTGTTCCTGGACGAGATGCAGACTGGTTTGTCCCCTTATTAACACACCTCAGAAACCTCCTGCATTTTGGAAACCACCCGTGGCTGGTGGAGCTGTGCGCCCTGTTCCCAGCACAGCACTGGGCGACACGCTGAGCCAACAGCACCAAGCGACAGGTGTTAGGAAGGTGCTGTTTATTTGCCCTATTATTAGCCAAAGCCTGGGCTGTCCTGTGCACATGTTGTAGATTTGGGGAGATCTGGGGGTTTGGCTACTGAATTTCAACCCCTGCCTCTGCCCGCAGCCTCACTGGCCCCCCAAGGACAGATCTGGATGCTCTCGCCAGCCTCCTACCCTCCAGCTCTGAGATTCATCCTGGCTCTCCAGAACAAAGAATGGGTTAAAAACATTGACATTTGGATCCTTCACATGTTATTGTTATGATTTCACAATCCCAGTATCTGGCAGACCGTGCTGTAGGCAGGCCCATGCTGTGCCAAGAGCTGTGCACAAGCAGAGCATGAGCACAGCCTACGGCTGACCTGGGGCCGCTCCATCCCTGCACAACACCCGCATCTTCATCCCTACACTATGGCAGGTTTGGGGTCAAACCCATGCCCTGCAGCACTGGGATTCACGGTGTGAGTCTGTGTTAGGTTTAAACACGTCTCCTTTCCTGAGCTTCACCTGGGAGCTGAAGATGGGGAATGTTCACCACACTGGACCCACAGCGTCTCCTACCTGCTGCCATCACACAGAGTAGGTCTCAGAGCACACAGATCAGGGGGGAGAAACACCAGCCACGGTCATCTTCAGAGAGGAGGATGCAAGTAGATGAAGCTTTTCAGGCAGCTAGCTCACCCAATAGGTCATTCCAAGTCAAACAACGCACTTTGTTTAAGCAAAAAGCTGCGTTTCGCATCGTGAGGAAAAGGTTTGCTTCAGAAAGAGCAGGTTTTAAATAGAAAACCACGCTGCCAAAAGGCACACGGCAAAATCCTGACAGATTCCTTCAGTCCATGGTAAAATGAGGAACGAAAAGCTTTGGCTGTGCCTGTGCTGCCGCCTGCAGGCATCTCTCCCTGCCCAGCCGAGCACTGCTCACTCCAAGGGCCAGCAGCAGGGGCCTCTCACGTTTAACACCGCGGATGTGATGCTCTTTGCCATGGGTCAGCTCACTGAAGCTCTGGGCAAGGATTTCCATCCCTGGTGGGACAGAGAGAAGATCCTGCCCTGTGTTTTACTGGGACCAAAGGCACCACAGACAGTCCCTTGGGCACACAGCCCAACAGCTTCAGCCCGCTGCAGCATCCTGCACCTCCTGCTTGCACCGGCAGAGATGTATTTGGGAAAACAGGGGTCCCAGCACCCCAGTTTCAGTCTGGTGCAACCAAGCTCTGCCTGCCAGTATGGACAACCCTGCCCATGCTTGGCTGAGCCTCTGCCTGCTCCATGCCCACACAGGGACAGGCCTGGAGCAGGGATAGCACACAAAGTGTTGGAACATGCTGATGAATACTGGGGCTGACCATGGAGCAGCAGCTCATCCACCCCTTAGTGCAGCTCCTGGGCCAGGAAACCCCATCCACACACTGGACAAGGTCCATCATTAAGCTTCATGCCCATGTCCCTCCCTGGCAGCACAAAGAGCAGTGCCCAGCCTGTGTCCCCACAGCACGCAGCTCCCATGGGCTGGGTGCCCACGTGTGCTCTGGTCTGAGCAGACTTTTCCACCTCCTTCCATTTATGGAGTGGGAATCCCGAGCCCCTCACCAGCCCGGAGGGCAGGAGGGATGGACAGGCTGCACCACCAGTGCGCTCCATCCTCCTCCTCCAAGCGCTCCCACTCCTCCATCAGCTCTGCGGCAGAGCTGGGGAGCACAGTGCGCTTCCTGCCTGCTGGAAGAGCCAACAGATGACATGTTAGCACCAACACCTCCATGGAGGGCCAGAAATAAAACAGCCTTTCAAAGCCAGCTGAAGGAAAGGAAAATCCAGCTGCACAGAAAGGGGCCGGGGGAGTTTCTCCCTTCCCTTTGGAGCTATGGGAACACGGCTCCGGTGCCAGCAGGAGCGATGGGAGGCTGGGTACCAGTCCCGCCTCATCCCCCGGAGGGAAGGTGCCTGGGAAGCAGGGTTCTGTGAACGGAAGATGTGTGGTTCATGGAAGCTCTCCTTTAGGGACAAATCAACCCCCAAATTAACACATTTTTAATGTTAATGTCACACTTTTTTTCACTAACATTTTCAGCAACTTCATGTTCTTGAAAACATTTCTGATGGTTCATTAGGCCAGAGATGATCCCGGCTCTTCTCTGCACTCCTGGATCATAGAATCATACAATGGTCTGGGTGGGAAGGGACCTTAAGGCTCCTCCAGCTCCAACCCCTGCCACGGGCAGGGACCCCTTCCACTGGAGCAGCTTGCTCCAAGCCCCTGTGTCCAACCTGGCCTTGAGCACTGCCAGGGATGGGGCAGCCACAGCTTCTCTGGGCACCCTGTGCCAGCGCCTCAGCACCCTCACAGGGAAGTGCTTCTGCCTAAGAGCTCAGCTCAGTCTCCCCTCGGGCAGGTTCAAGCCATTCCCCTTGGCCTGTCCCTACAGGCCCTTGTAACAGGTCACCCAGCACCCTGAGGACTGGCTCAGATCACCCCTTATCAGAGTAGAAAAGGGGCAGGAGGGGCTGGTTTGAGAGGCTGGAGCCCCTGGCCGGGATCACAGAGGTTGTAGCTGTCTCCATTTGGCTCTGCTGAGCCTGCCCTCCCAGCAAGGAGCATCCCAGAGCAGCAGCTCAGCCCCACAGCCTCACACTCCCCCTGACACCCATCAGAGCGGTGCTGAGCTCAGTGGGATGCCCCAGAGCTGACCCCATCCCACTGAAGCAAACCCTGTGGATGTCACAGCATCTCCTGCTGCCAGCCCAGCTGTCCTGCGGGATGCGGGAACCAGACTGCTGCGATGCTGGAGGATCTGGTCCTTGTTATCAGCATCATCAGCCTGGCACCCCCAGGGACCCGGCTTGCAGCGTGGGCAGGAAGGTGGCATTACACACCCTGTGGTTTGAACTCCTCCTGTGAACAGCTTGGGTACCCTGCAGAGACCAAGTGGACCTCCGGAGCTGCCTGCTTACCCAGCTCTGTGCAAGCTGCCTGCAGTGCCCACAGAGAGCTCTGCCTGCCTCCTACCCCCGGCAGCACCCAAGACACCAGCACCCAACAGGGAGTCACATCTCCGGTCCGATCTCTCCATGCAGGGAACAAGAGGCTTTACAAGAGCACAGTTTATGTTTCACAATGTGCTTACAGCTCGTGGGGGAAGCAGCATGCCCTGGGAACTCAAAGCCTTTACGATGGGATAATCCTGTTTTCTGCCACAAGCTGAGAATAGAGGAGTTCCAGGACAGAGGAAACTGGGATGAGGGACAAGGGGCTCCCCCACGGGTGGTTGTTGTGTCCCTGGGACAGGGCAGAGCGCAGCACTGCCTGGCTGCCTCCACCAGCCCCACCAGCTACCACTGAGATTACAGCTAAGACCTGTATGGGCCCAGGTACTGTTAAAGGCATAGGAAGAACAGCAGGAAAGGGATGTTCACAGCACAGCCCAAACCACATGCTTGTTCCCATGGCACAGCGAAACAGAGGAACTTTCTGCCACCCCCAAAAGCCTTGTCCCGCCTCGCCTGGGTCTCACACCTACCTACAACAGTGAGCACGTCCTTCTCGATGTCAGCCCTGATGTAGATGCGGCCGCGGCGCTCGGTGTGGTCCGTCCCGCACAGGCTGGGCACGTTCATCACGCAGCGCTTGTGCACGTTCATCATGCAGGCTGCGGGGTGGACAGGAGGAAAGGGACAGTCAGGGCTGGGGTCACCTCTGCCCCAGCTCACAGGGTGTGAGGGGATGGGGGAGAGCTTGTCCTCGCTTTAAAAGGGGATGCTTTAAGGGATTCTGGGGTAAACATGCAGCAAATGGAGCTTCAAATGCAGCTGCAGACTGGGAGAGCCCTGCCAGGACACAGGGACCCACCACCACCCCCAGCTCTGGGTCTTACCCATGGAGATTAAAGGATTTCAGCCCTTTTACTTGAATTCTGCTGGTTTGTTAGACTTCTCCTCCATACCCATGGTGCAATGCTGGGTACTGAGTGGGTTCACCAGGAGCTGACAGGGGGCATTAAATATCACCTGTGTATGTGCATTCATATACACGTGTATAGAAAGCTACATATGTATAAAATATATAAATATATATCTGTAATTTTTTATTCTAAAGAAATTCCTTTCCACTTGCTAACATTTTAAAGGTGATAATGAATACACTGTTCCCACAACAGTCAGCAAGCTTCTATATTTATGGGAAAGGCAGCACATGGCAAGCAGCAGAGTGTGCTGCTCCCCGCCGGCAGCACGAGCACGGAAGCAGAGCTGTGTATTCACAGTCCTTTTAAATAGGAATGTACAAGATTAACATGGAAAATAACTGATCTCTCCCTCTCCATCCTCTCCCTGTTCTTTCATCCCCCATTTCCTCCTCTTTGGACAATAATTCTCCCAGTTTGCAGAGCAAAACGCTTTGCAGAGGCTGTCTCACTGCAGCCAGCATGGCCACGGGGTGTCAGTCGGAGCCAGCTCTGTGAGAGCTGGAGAAGGGATGCGGGAAGATTGGAAGGATGCAGGGATGCTGTGGAGGAAAATATAGGGATGCTGTGGGGATGATGTGAAGGATGCTGAGAGGGGGGAGATGATGTGGGGAGGCTGTGTAAAGGGAAAGATGATGTGGGGGAGGCCCTGCCCAGGACCTTGGGGTGCCAGAGCCCCCCATGGCTGCAGGAGTTGTTCCATCACTTACTGTCACATTTCATCCCCTGGTGAATGAGCCCATAGAGCAACGACCCGCAGTGGTCACAGAAGGTGGGGCTGGAGTACGTGTGGATTTTAAACTTGTGTTTGCTCCGGGGATCCTGGGAGGAAAACACACGATGAGGATTATAAACTTGCATTAAACATTGGCAGGGCCCCACCGCTCTCCACGTTTCACACGCCAGCTGGCTACGGAGGTGCTGTTAATGGACTTCACTCAACTGCCACCGACTGATGTGGACCTTTTCCAACAGTCGCCAAGATCCAGCGTTATTACTCCTTGGATGTGTTGCCATAACAATAAGAAAGCAACGCGTTGGCTTCTCTGGCGATTCACTGCTTTTAAATAACTTGGCCTTAGCATAGAAAGCACCAGGTGAAATTAGTGCCTAAGAAACAGCACAAGGGCTGGACCCTACTCAACTTCCATGTAAAACAGAAAAAGCCACCCGCTACTTCCATCTGTATTAATGGTACCCAGTGAACACCTTTGTGCTCCAGTGCTAAACCCTCCCCAGCACGCTCCAGGGAGCTGAGCTGCTTAGTCAAATACTACTTGGGTATTTTGAGCTTTCTTAAAACCAACAGGAGATTTCCTGCAACAGCAGAACATGTAAACCAGGAGGCACAGCTTTATCCTGGACACTGGCTGCAGTCCTGCACAGCCACCTTGCAAACAGGGCTCCTCTACTCCAACAGGGATCTACAGAACCATGGAATGGTTTGTGCTGGAAGGGACCGTAAAGCTCATCCAGCTCCAACCCCTGCCATGGGCAGGGACCCCTTCCACTGGAGCAGCTTGCTCCAAGCCCCTGTGTCCAACCTGGCCTTGAGCACTGCCAGGGATGGGGCAGCCACAGCTTCTCTGGGCACCCTGTGCCAGCGCCTCAGCACCCTCACAGGGAAGAGCTTCTGCCTAAGAGCTCAGCTCAGTCTCCCCTCGGGCAGGTTCAAGCCATTCCCCTTGGCCTGTCCCTACAGGCCCTTGTCCCAAGCCCCTCTCCAGGTTTCCTGCAGCCCCTTTAGGCACTGGAGCTGCTCTAAGGTCTCCCCTTGAGGAGCCTTCTCTTCTCCAGGCTGCCCCAGCCCAGCTCTCTCAGCCTGGCTCCAGAGCAGAGCTGCTCCATCCCTCGGAGAAACGACCTCAAAAGGGACCAACCATGGGAAGAAATGACTGAGGCAGACCAAGGATTTGGTGTTTCTTGGTATCTTCCAGGCAAGACAAGACAATTCTGGAAGCCCTGATCAAACCTCGGTTATTCAGACCAGCGCTGAGCACTTTGAAGACAACATGAGGTTACATAGGAACCTTACAGGGACCACACTGGGGCAGGCAGTGCTGCTCCTGCAAGGGAGCCCAGAGCAGCTCAGCGCTGCAGAGTAGGGTGCAGGCAGCATCACACACAGGAGAGGAGGAGGATTACGGTGAGAAGCTGCTGGCTTCGTCTCATCTCAGGTTAATTGCAGGGTTAGGGATGAGGCACAGCTCCCGGCTTGGCCATTTGAGCTCAGTGGCTTTTTAATGGCCTGGAAAGGAGCCCGGGTGTTAGGAAAGACACCTTTACAGGGCACTGTGAGCCACGTAAATAAATAAAGAGTGGAGCCAGAATGGAGCTATAACAGAGCTGCCAATGCATCACCTCCCCCATTCCAATTCATTTGCCTACCACTATGCACCCAGCCTTCCAGTCACGTTAATCACTTCATATTCTGCATTATTTCACAGCACCACTGATAACTTGAGTGATACCAGGAAGGCGGAAAAGTAACGGAGCTTCATTTGATTCAGTCTGTCGAGTGCCAGGGATTAGGCACACGCTTCAGCAAGTTTATTGTATCTGAAACTGAAATCATCTCACATCTTACCCTAAGCAAAGTGATCCTATGTGCAGAGCAGAGCTTAGCTCTGTCCGGTAGCTTGTGTGTCAGCTGGAAGGCAGAGAGGATGAGGGTTCATGTTTAACCTGGCTTCTGGACAGCCCCAGCTACCAAAAGGAGTGACACAGCACCATTCAGCCTTCCCCAGGCATGTAACAGAACACAGAACACTTCAGCCTGGGTTTCAGGCTACAAGAGGCGTGGAAATGAAAGCTTCGGTAGGCAGACTGCAGGCAGAGGGCTGGAGCCGGGCAGCCCATGACGAGTGCAGTGCTACAGGCAGGTACCACTGAGCACTGCTGCCCAAAGGGACACCAGGATGAGCACACCCCTCCTAAGAGGCTTACAGGGTTAGTGCAATCCCTGCACTGGACGTGCTGTAAGCCTCTGAAAACTTGATTTTATGACCTGAGCTCTGCTTGAGCAGCAGCTCAGGGACATCCCCATAAGCAGCTTTGCCCATCTCCCATGGCACTGAGGGCCTTGTCTCCATGGGGTGTGAACACTTGCAGGGACGGTGCCTGCAGCCCTGCCCTGGGCAGCCTGTTCCAATGCCTGAGCACCCTCTGGGGCAGGAATTGTTCCTCAGCTCCATCTAAACCTGCCCTGGTGCAGCTTGAGGCCGGTTCCTCTTGTCCCATCCCTTGTTCCTTGGGAGCAGAGCCCAGCCCCTCCTGGCTCCATCCTCCTGTCAGGCAGTTGTAGGGAGCCATCAGGCCCCCCTGAGTCCTCTGCACCTTGCAGAGCCCTGGGCATGGCTGCAGAGGACACCCCGGGGTGCTCAGGCATCGTCTCACCCCCTTCAGCAGTAGGATGGGGTTGATGCCACGGGGGCAGCAATAGCAGAAGCCACGTGCTAAACCCCAGCGTGTGACACAGGGAGGGATCGCCCCCGAGCGCTCCAGTTTCTGTGCTCCCTTCTAGAAACAGATATTCCTGTTTAGGCAAATGAAAGCTTTAGTCATTCATAAAGGAAAAAAACCAACAAACCACAAGCTTAATGCAAAATGAGACAATTCATGTGAAGGATGTTAAATTCCCACTGGAAATGGAAGTTAAAAAAACCAGAGCCAGAAAAGCAAAGCGTACACTGAGCCATGCTGCTGCAGCAACAGCATCTTCCAAACTGCTCCATCAGCATCCCAGCCTTGCTCAGAGTGAGCTGGACCCCTAAAGGGCTTCACCTTCCGCTCCCACCCCAAGGGCTGTGTTCCAGATTGACCCAGCACCCAGAGCCCAAAGGGTATGAGGGTGATGGATGCAGCCAGGCACAGGGAGGCAGAACTGCTTCTCTGGTGTGAGGGCCCTGTTTCACCTTGACCAGGGCTTTAGAAGGTGCCAGAAACTGGAAAGCCTGGATATCATTTTCGACCCAGGCTGAAGTCATTTTACAAAGAGCCTATTTTTGTAGCACAGAGACAGGGATGACGAGGTCCCCGTGCTTGCAGATGCTGACACTTACACCAAGAACGATTAAAAAGAAGTTTGCCAAGAAAAGGAGAAGCGTTCCTCCTGCATCCTGCCAGCACAGAGGAGCAGGGCAGAGGAGCTCTTCTTCGGAAGAGAGCTCAGTAACACCATTAGGAGAGTTTTACTGCACTGCGAGGCTCTGACCTTTGGAATCAGCGCTGCCACAGACCCGTGATGCTGCAAGGGGAGTGATGGGTGTCTTGAGGATGCGAGCCTGAACGAGTCCAAGGAAAGGAAAGGAGCTGTTGGCTTCAACCTCGTACCCTACAATGACCCATTAAAGGTGGCTTCTGCTTCTCAGCTTGACAGCAGGTCTCAGGTCTGAAATGAGCCAGTGCAGTATCGCATCCTTGATGTCCTGCATCCCTGACCTGCAGCGCAAACCTTGCAGACCCTGGCTCTCCCCAGAGCCCCACACACCTCTTGCTGCTCCCACCCCACTGTGCTGGGTATGGGGTCTGTGTGTGATGCCTGCAGCAGCCCCAGCTCTCCTGCTCTCCCAGGAGCACAAGAAACGTGATTCCTGAGCAAGCAACCAAACCCTGGCCTCTGAGGCACTGTGAGCACAGCCCCGCCAGAGCCTTCCCCAGGCTCAGCAGTCACCTGCACCATCCTTCAGGGTCATACCCACCCCTGAGCTCGCTGCAGGACCACACCAATGTCAGGCACCTCCCGCTGGACCCTGATGGAGATGCTGATGCAGGAGCTGCTGCTCAGCGGTTCCTTGCGGGCAGGCAGCGGGTGGCATTGATCAGAAGGACAATTTATGTGCTGCTCACGGGAGCCAGGATCCCTTTGCTCTTGTGCAGCAGCCTGCCTGGGCAGCGGCTCAGCACACAGCGGTAAGCCAAGGGGGGAGAGCAGAGCAGAGCAGCACCACGCTGCACGACAAGCAAGGGCGTTTGGCTTCAGCTATTCCCCATGCCAAGTCCGTGTCCTGGCAAGGGCAGCAGCCCTCTGTCATACCCACGGTGCAAACCCTGGGCTGGAGGCTGCCTGGGTTTTGTCTCTTCTGCACTGCATCAGTGTTGCCTCTCCTGGTGCAGGGAGGATGCGGGATGCAGGGGGAGGCCCAGACCCTTCCTCAGACCCAGCAGTCTGAGCCATAAAACACTTGTAAAGCACACCCAGCTCACTTGGGTCCATCCCTACAACCAGTCACACGTGAAGGGCACTGAAATGTCTTCTATTCCCTCATGCAAATAAAGCCTCCCCCGATCCCAGGTCCCATCACCAGCCCTTCAGCAGGGGCTGGTGCCCTGCGGTCCCCAGGAAGCCAAGAGCCCAGCCGATGGCTGATGCTGCTTTAATCCGTTGTACTGACAGTTGCTGGACCCCACACAACAGCCCCAGAGGTTTGCTGCAGGATGACTTGCCCCTATTTCCCCATTGCAGTGCAGAGAAAGCTTTAAACTGCCTTTTCCAAAGAAGAATTAACACAGTTCATGGGAAGAGACTATTTCAAAGCGAGTTTTCTGGCAATTTTAAGCCGCATAATAGCAGAGCAAATAGAACACAGCATGAGCTTAGTGCCTGCACCTACTGAAACCCAGGCAGCAGACATAAAACCAGAAACCTCGTGCTTTGTTCCAACATTTCCCCTGGGAAAATCCCCTCCGTTATGCAGAGAACACCTTCAGCACATACAGAAGTGGCCTGACAGTGACTCTAAAGGTGATGAAGGAGAGAAAAGCCCCTCCTTCCTTCCAGGGAAAGAATAGGCTGTAAAAGGCTGGGTCAGGGATGTCAATGG